ATTACCTTTTTAGAAAGTTGTACTATTAACCATATGAGGATATTTGTGTAGTTTGAATGAATAAATTACAAGAAATTATATCAGTTATCTTATTTTAAAATTCTATGTACAGTATATCTGACAAGCAATCTATATCCAAACTTTTAACCTAAATGTACACACGGGATTTGCTCCCCAAGTGTCAGATACAAAAAGGGCTTGGTATGAAAGGGGTTAAATCAACCATATTTACCAAATATTATTCCATTGTCATATTGAGGTATTCTTACACAATGTCAGATGTGCTGTAGATTAAGAAATTCTATTTTAAAAGGGATGAGGAATTGCTGTAGGTTTGTTAAAAAAAGTATTTTTTTAAAACTATTCCAACAGAAATTATAAGTATATTAAAGCATTTTTAAAATAAAATTAGTATAACAATTTGGCACATAATAATAATAATAATAATACTAATAATAAAGTATACACTTGCATACATGCCTCAACTATGATGAGACTTTTATAAGTGTCCATGTTTATTCTGTTCTCCTTAACTTTTGTTATTATGTCTCACAAGCTATTCCACTGCCATATTGTATTCTGAGTTAATCACTCAACCTACAGGTCCGCTCCTATGTACTAAAACAGTGGGCATTTGCCGATGCTCTCTTTAGTGGGGTGCCTTGGGTGAAATATTATATTTTCTTGCGATGCTTACCCCAGCTCTCTGTTTTGGCATCAGAAGCTATAGTTTTTATGTTGTCGAGCTGTCACAAATTACCATAAAACCTCACTTAACCCTGTATCATATACGCATGTCTATCGATCTCTAACTATGCCTTTTCCTGATGCAGCTTTAGACGTGTCAATTGTGCCGGTTTGCTTAATACCAAACAAAATATGCAGTTTCTGACATACAAATGTTTTTTTTCTATGGCTTTTATTGTCTGTGTTTCTGCTGTTGTGGCGTGGTCTGATTGTAACTTCTCACGCGCAGCAAAAATAAAGAATTAAAATAATAATAATAATAATAATAAGAATACAAAAAAAAAAAAACAAAAACTGAAAATTGAGACTTCACATTTTTAAATCTTCCCTTTAAAAAATCTAACTGTAAAGCATATCTGAGGTCTCCTGTTTGCATTTGACATAATTGTGGTGCATGTGGTGGGAAAGTGCAATTGTGTAAGAAAGAGGGTACTAGGTAGTGATACCAATCTGAACAGCTCTGTGGTTTACTACAATTGTGCCAAAGGATAAACTGTGATTCTGGGAAATATTATGTCATTTCCAGAAACACTGCATCAAATCATTCCACAACCCGTTATTTTACTTTAGAATGTCAAATATAATTTCTCATTGCCATATATTAAATTGACATTGATAACAGCCTAGTAAATTACACCTAACAAACATACACACAGCTGTGTCCTCACTACATGGTGTGTCTTCACTACTCTGGATTTCCTCCGAGATACTTCATCTTTTTAAACTTTAAGAGTTGCAACAGAAAAGATTGAATGGCCATTACTGATTAAACGGAAATACCAAAGTAAAACAGGATTAAACATTGCAATCCACCCATTTCTTGTCGCCCTTCATAACATTAGCCATTGAACTTTTCTGATGTACCTATCACTCCCAGTCTCAATTCACTTATTTTACATTAAACTTTCAGTTTGAGAACCACATACTTTAGTTTTAAACTTGTTATTGTCATGTGTGGCTAACTAGATGGCAAACGAGTTGTCACTTGTTTTTTCTTCTCCTAGCAGTAACTCACTCTTTTCAGTCTCTCGTCAGGTTAGCTACTATTATCCATCCAAGCCAACGCGTTTTTCGGCTTTATGGCTTTTTCTTTTTACAATGCATGCGCTTCACTCATTATATCCAGCTTATCTCCAAATCCTGCAGCTTATATCTTAAAACTCTAACATTATCGAATATCTCAAGCAAGAACCAACTAAAGCTCCTTTTTTCGCACTAATTTTTGTCTGTGTTTAATAGTGAAACACACTCTTTTTAGATTTGCTTGTGTTCTCACAGTACCCGGTTAGAGTCAATATTTAACAGTGACAGACTTTTATTTCTTTTTTTTCTTCTTTTTTTTATTTTAATGTTTTTAGTATTTTTCCCCAAGACAATTACATCGTATGAGATAAAAGAAAGAAAAAGACAGAAAATCTGATACATCCATAAAACATATTACAAAATATATTTTTTCCAATGACGCTAAACATTCACCATTAGCATGAAATTGTCATTATATTCTCAAATAAAAATGAAAAAATGAAAGATACAAAATATCTTCAGGAACTGAGAGAAAGACCTTCACGGTCTTGATTCAATCTCAGGTAATTCTTAAATGAGTCCAGAATAAATCTTAAATCAGCTGTGTCTATTTTATTTATAAGGCTTTATTTAGGCCGTTTTTGGACCATGATATCCATTTGATAGGATGTTTATGTTACCAGATTGTGTTCTAGACGGCTTATTGATGAAATTTGAAAGAGAACATTGTATTTATGTTTGTTTAATGGGGATGGGAATCCTTATTTTTTTTTCCCTGTAAGGTTCCCCCCTCCCCCCCCCGGGTGTTGCTTTTGTCTATTAATATTTTCATGAAAAAATTTAATAAAAAGAATTAAGCAAAAAAAAAAAAAATCAGCTGTGGCACTGATGAGCTACTTCCTAATATTTCCTCATTAGCTCAAAGAGATGGACTTTTCATTCCTGTCATTTCAGTCCTTACCTGGATTCCTGTGTTCCTTGTTATTCATTTTCAACAAATGATCATCACTTTCAAAATTCCCTACAACCACACCTCAAACAATATATAATATGTGATTTGCAATTAGAACCCTGATCTTAAACTGATTATAAAAAGTTTTACTTAGATGAATTTTGCACAAAAACAGAGCAAAACTATCTGAGCCATGGGTTGCTGCTATTATCCTTAAAAATGAAGTCCATGGTGTAACAGGAAAATCCTTCCCCCAGTTATTTGAAAAATAGCTTTGAATAAATATTAATTTTAATTGAATTTAATGATATTTTGAAAATTTTAAGTTCTTTTCAGAAATGCTTATATTTATATTTATAATTGTTACAAAATACTTTTGCCACATGGGATCGGCCTTTTTTGGGGGCCCACAGCTATTTTTAAAGGAAATTTTTTTAATAATGAATAGAGTTAACTTATAGGCCATAGTATAAGCCAATTGTACAGAATCACAAAGCGAGGATTGTCTGAACTACGAAACAAGACAAGGTAAATGGCAATACGATCTGCAGTCTGGTGTGTGCCTTCTTCACAAATTGCACATAAGGCCTCAGCACAGGATATGAACACATCTGGGCACACTGAACACTAACAATTATAGATTTTTTTTTTGCAATAAAGCTCTATTTTAGGAAATTTCATCCTTTCCTGCCAAAATATTTATTTTTCTTGTATAGGCTTCTTGTCTGTTGTTAGCCACTTATCTGGGAGGAATTTTAATGCAACCATAAATAGTATTTTCTCATTTATTAAACTATTCTGGATCAAATAATGACAGCTAAAGTGTCTACTACAATGGATTCTGCCTACCATGTTCCTACTCCTATTGCAGTTATACGGAAACATTGAAAGACTTTTTGGACAGTCACACAGAATTTCTCTTCATGACTTTCGCCAATGCATTTAACCTGATTACATATTTGGAAAAGAATAAATACATTACTAAGCTATGATTCTGTATACAGAATAATATTCCAAGATACATAAAAATATAACTTTGCATTTCTTTAACTTTGTATTTATTAGTTGATACTTTACAGATATATTAGTGAAGTATCAGTTAATAGTGATTATACAGCATCTTGTGTCTTGCAATCTTTCTGACAGTTTTACAAAGATTTGCACTGAATGAGAAATACTAGAACATATATGTGGGATATGACATTGAACAAATTAATATAGGCATTAAAGGGACACTATAGTCACCAGAGCAACTATGGTCACTCCTCAGATGGCTGCTAGAGGTGCTTCCTGGGACAGTGCTGCACAGTGAGCAGCACTGCCATTCATTGTCTCCTCCCTCTGCATGCATATACTGAACTTTCCCCATAGAGATGCATTGATCCAATGCATCTCTATGAGGAGATGCTGATTGGTCAGGGCTTTGTTTAGCTGGTGCTGTCTCTGCCCCTGATCTGCCTCCTTGACAATTTCAGCCAATCCAATGATCTTATGTGAAATCATTGTGATTGGGTCATTTCACCACTTCTGTTGATGTCAGCAAAGGAGGAAGATCAGAGGCAGATCCAGCAGCAGCAGACTTGAATAAAGCTAAGATTTTACTAAATTTAGGAGGGCTCGGGGGGCTAGATGGTGTTTTTAACACTATAGTGTGGGGAATACATGTTTGTGTTCCTGACCCTATAGTGTTTCTTTAATATACAATGTATGTAGGCACAGATCTACATTTGTGTTGTAATGTATTTTGGGATAGTAAACATGTTAGGGATCACAGAGGTATCACAGATTGCTCAGATTGTATAAACATATCGTGTTAATACAATTTCCTCATATTTTGCCAGTCATAAAATATGATACACGAGGATTGGCACCAAGCCTTTCTAAATAATGGATAATAACATTGTACAGCGCTACGGAATTTGCTGGTGCTATATGAATAATAAAATAATAATAAAAATGGCTGGCCAAGCAAATGCATAGAGATTGGTACATTTTTATGCATATTTTTACATTTCTGCACAAACACCCTTACCTTTCTGGTTACTGCTGGATCCAGATATCCTTTCAGTTTCTGGATGTACGTATGTGGTGGATTCTTGACTTGAAACCTTTCCTACAAAAACAGAATACATGGATCAATATTTATACTGACAGTGGTCAACAAGAATAACATAAAGAATGAGTAAGAAAAGAGCTAGAATGTAAGCAAATTTATGCGTACACTTGCCGCGAACGGTTCGCCGCGGTTCGCCACGAACCGTTCGCGGCGAACTCCAGTCAGTTGACACATCCCTGCCAATCTCCGGCAGACCCTCCCTCCCAGACCCTCCCACGTCCTGGACAGCATCCATGTTGAAGGCAGCTTCAACATGGATGCTGTCCAGGAAGTAGGAGGGTCTGGGAGGGAGGGTCTGCCGGAGATTGTCAGGGATGTGTCAGCTGACCGGAGTTCGCCAAGAACGGTTTGCAGCGAACCGCGGCGAACCGTTCGCGGCAAGTTCGCGACATCACTAATCTAGATATGTATTCAATAACTATGCACAAGGCTATAAATGTAGCTTTAGTTTCAAAACAAGTTCAAAATACCTCCGAAACATCAATATAGCCAAACAAGTTTAAAATACCTCCCAAACATGAATACAGCCAAAGAGAGACAACTCGGAGATAAGGGCCAATCCTACAGTAGAATCTAAATAGATACACTGAAAAGATATCCTTCTCATGTTTAGTTGTTAGAATTTGCATTTGGTTACTACAATCTGGCAAACAGAATGTTTGGATCAGGTAAGTGAAATGTATAGATCGAGTAGGTGGCTTAATGAGTTCTTAAATTTAGTAAGTTGTACAATTAAAATGATGTTACTCCCAAGCCCTGGTCAGATTTACCATTTGCTAAGCAGGTAATTTGTGCTTCTTGGATTGAGCGCTCATTGACTTTAATTGGAACTTAAATCTATACTTGGGGATGGAAGGGACTTCATATCTGAATGGCTACATCGAATGTCACACATTAGGTCTACTATCCAAACTCGTATTGTTGTGTCATCGTCAATTGCCACTGAAAATGGACTGGTTATCCTGATGGATTTCACCAGCATAATAATCAATTACCATTTAATAGCTCTCGCAAATGGGCAGTAAATAAATATCAACAAATTTATTTTTAATCCAGTAGCAGTGTCCGTAGCATTCAGATTACACTTCTTAAAAACGCATATATTTTACATTAGGTTTGAGAAACAACTTCCATTACCAACAGTCATCCAAATGCACAGGATGATAGGATATGTAGTTCACTGCCAATCTAAAGGCAGTCAACTCTCATTTTATGTTATTTTACCCTACCTGTAACCTCCACATAATTTTATAGTGAGACAGGAGGCTTCATATTTAGCTTAAACTTTCTTTACTGCCACTTTCAGCAGCAAAGAAACAGTTCATGAAGAACGGATCAAACTTTGGCGAAAGGGACACCTTATCTGGTGCTATAAGCCTGGAACACAGCCAGTATACAGCAGGGAGATGCTAAGAAGCATCGAAGCGTGTGGGCCTCCACGTTGGAGCTTCGTCGCGCAATCCAAAATGGCACTTGTGGAGAGGCCACGGCCAAGAAAACAGAGTGGAAGCTGCAGAGGACACAGCAGCACAAAAAGAGGGAGTGAAAAAGTGGGAGCGACTGTTGGGGGTTTTATATGCCCGTCCTCGTACTGATTGGCTGTTTTCTGATACTTGCGTTAACTGTTTCTTTGCTGCTGGAGGTATCAGTAAAGGAGGTTTAACCCCTTAAGGACCAAACTTCTGGAATAAAAGGGAATCATGACATGTCAGACATGTCATGTGTCTTTAATGGGTTAAGCAAAATATTCGCCTTCTGTCTTTAATAACAATTTAGATTATTCGAATACCAAGGCAAGAATAATCCCCAATTTGTCTGTATTTTATAGCGCAAAATGACAGTGTGGGACAGCCTGCTTGCACAATACTTGTCTTCGTCTCAAATTCTTGGCAATTTATGCTATAATCTTAAGTACTGCTTGATACCAAAGGCCAACTTGTCACATTAGACTTAAGCTTTTTCCACTAAAGTCTGTGCCACAATTTAAAAGGAACACTACTTAGTCTTGGAAGAAAGAATAATAGATTTTTGCCAAAGGTCGTTCGAGTCACATGTTTGGGTTGCCTATAATCCTGCAACTGCCAACTAGGCCTGAGGTTTATCAAGAGAAAGTTTCACTTTACGACAACGGGCAATGAAAATGAAGTAGTTGTTTTTTTTAGCAATTGCAATCAGAGTTGAGTGATTTATTTTATGCAGTTTATTTTTTTGTAGGAAAGGTTACATAGCAAAATGAAAAGAAGTGGGTTTGTAAAAGTCTGTAGTACAAAAAATGTACGGATTACAAGATAATCAGGTAGGTGACCAAATTTATCTGCGATAAAAGAAAAGTACTCCCATGAAATAAAACGTAAATACTTCCTTATTTAGTAAAAATACAATGCAGAGTGAAATTTAGAACACTTTACATGCATCCAGGTAAAGAAGGAAGGGGATTAGACCCAATGATATCAGTAGCATTCTTTGTTTTAGAGAGTGCCTTCAAACTGTGTCAAGAAAAGAGACCGCATGTTGTTGGGTAAGTGCAAATTAAAGTTGGGTTACTGTGACTGTGGCAAAACCTTTTGCAGACTAACAACACAGGAGGTATAAAGTTGAAGATGTGTGACATATCCGACCCGAAGCCTAACTGCTTTCTCTTTATTATTTTGACAGGTGTCAGAAGGTAAAACGTGAGTAGTCTCCTTTTTGTCTTGTCTTTGTTGTTTATGCAGGCCTAGCCACACCTCCTCTGGCTGAGACTTACACAGTCTACCTCCACACTTCCTGGAAAATAGTCTACTTTTTAGATTTCTCTAATTGCACACTGTGTTTCATATAGAACTTATCTTCTGTTCTATTAACTACCTGCTAGAGCCTGCAGCAGCCTCCTATGTGTGGTTAAAGTCAAATTATCAGAGCAGCAGACATGAGTTTCTAAAGTAAATACACAGTGTTAAGGGTCACGATAGGGGACAGTAATACAGAGTCAGGGTGAGGATGTCAGGTAAACAAACATGATGCATTATTAAGTTTATGGTTGTAAATGGCTTTTTAGCACTTGGAGTAATCAACGTCACAAAATGAAAATCACTTATTACAAACTGGAATATATCAATGCAGATTATTGAATTAGTAGGGACAGCAGTCACCAATATTTTTAGAAAGCCATTTAAGTAAGTAGCAATCCACTAGTACAAAGAATATATTATGTAACAAATCTTCAGGCAGAAGATGAATACTTTGTGCTATTTCTTTACTTCTGCAGACCACCGTGGTGATTTAAGGAGAAAAATAAATAACCACAAATATGACTTTTTAATTTTTTTTCCTTCCTAATCTCGGCAACTCCAGATGGCTACATATTCTCTATTAGATTTATCTGTCTGCCTTTAACCTGATAAATGAGCTCTCATGTCCGGAACCAAAAATATATTCGATTTGCTTCTGCCAAATTGGATTTGTACTTTTGCCAGAAAAGATTGCCAGAGACGCATTTTTAAATAAACAGGATATTACAGTCAACGTTCATATTATATCTCAACAATCATATGGCAAGTCTAAAGATCTGAATGAAATATTTCCTACAGTACTTACTCAGGTTTCCACTCTTTTAAAGAAAAAACTTGAATTCTGGTTCGAAATATGACAATCAAGACACCACATTAGTTATTTTTTTTTTTGGTGGGGCGGAGTGAGGGAGGTGGGAGTAACCTTGTTAAGTCTTTACTTTTAACCCCTTAAGGACACATGACATGTGTGACATGTCATGATTCCCTTTTATTCCAGAAGTTTGGTCCTTAAGGGGTTAAATGAACACTCCAAGTACCATAACCACTATAGTACTATTCTGCAGTGATTATGGTGCCTGAATTCCCATGTCGCCTTCCCAGGGTAAGTAGTGAAACCATGTGAGAAAGGTTTGGCAACACACCTGTATTTGCTGGGTGCTGGTCATCTCCTCCCATCAGCTGACACTTCAAGCTGTTCTTAAATGGAACTCTAAGCCAAAGAGCAAAGTCCTGCACTGCCACTCTGGCACCATAACCACTATGGGTTATGGCAGTAGTGATTATAGTGTTTGGAGTGTTCCTTTAAAGCATTCATTTAGTTAACCGCAAACCTATTATCGACAAATATTGTGGTAGATGCATTCACCTTAAGGGAGTTGCATTTATTCATTAAACATCTAAAGGAACATTATAGGAACATTATAGGCACCCAGATCACTTCATGTCAATGAAGAGGTCTGGGTTCCATCCTCCCCTTGTTTTAATAAATGTTGTCATACTGACAGCCACTAGAGGCACTTCCTTTGGAAATGCATTATCTTGGCTAAGATCATCAACACTGAAAAGGCGGTGCTTCACTGAGGAGACTGGCGCTGTGACGAAGAAAAGTCAAGTAAAACTCACATTTTTAACCTGGTAAGATTTAAACACATAATCCATAAAATGAATACCTGAAATCATTAACTAATAATTGATATATCCAAATCAGAGGAACTTTTTCTAATTGCTGAGTTAAGACCGCTGGGTATCACATACTGAGGTGTGAACATGGATACATTTAGGTTCATTAAATAACAGAATTATCTTATTGTCCTACAGAGAGCTTATCCACTAGGGATAGTAGAAACCTCTGCCAAATATTCTATATTTAGTCATTTGTCAGAATTCATTTACCACTAGAAAGTCAGTCACTTTTCTCTGCCGGTACATTTCCTACTAGCAAAGCACTTAATAAATAGAAAGAAAATACAGAAAATATGCAGCAATTATAAATATGATACAATTCTCAGCAGAACACGTCAATCCGGGATCCATTTTCCTCCATAACAGAAGTACAATATTGTTCACACATATTGTAGATTCATTTTGTTGTTGCCAAGATGCAAAGGGCTTATGTGAGGCCATTTGGGGACACAAAGAAGAAAGAGCTTGTTGCAGATTAATGTCAATGAGAGGGAAAGTGCGGCTAATTCCATTTAGTTATACAGTAACATACAGAAAAGAGCAAAGATATTACAGAGGTCATATAGGAAGGGATAAACGAGTCATAGAATGGGGAGACCAAGAGGCAAGAACGAACGAAAGACAGAAAATGAGGGCGAAAAAAGGAGAGTGTGAGGAAAGAGAGAGAGAGGGATAGGAAGAGACTAAATACGTAAAAAAAAAGTATATTAGGAGATAAAATAATGGGAAGAAGATGTGCAGAAGGAATATAAGAGAAAATCTGCATCATGAAAGCAGGAGGAACAGGCTGTAGGTAATTCCAAAATGCTCCACTATGTTTCCATCTTGTGATGTTTCATGGCATATTTATATCAGTAAACATTATTTATGTGTGT